TAAAAAATTACATCCCATTAGTCTGTACTTTGAGTGAATAATCAGTTCTAGAACTACAGTGCTTTAAAACTCCATTACATGGGAAACACAGTCATTAATCCCAAATTGTGATTAGGTAGAAATCTGGCGGTGAAGGGAAGGAGACTTCAGCCTCTGCTTTTTAACTGCTGTGGACGCTTGCTCTGGAAGCTTTTCATTTCTATGAAATCACGTTTGAGATGCAGTCACTGTTGCTGGGGAAATAAACATGATGGCACATGAAGAAAAAAATGCTCTCAAGTGGGGAGTAGGCAAGAGGAGCAGATGAGCTCTTATGAAACAAAGGACTCTCTCGCTCTCCAAGTGTCGCCTCTAACAAAACAAAATACACGGTAAAGTGACTGAAAACATCTTAGAAAAATTGACTGTGCTTAGTTACATTATATAATAGGACATCAGTGAGTCTTTATCTAAATTACACAATCTGAGGCATTTCACCCATTCAGCGTCTCTAGGCTTCTTAAATGGGTGGGGGTTTTCTTATCTTCTTCCCATTACAACTGAAAATGCGTGTCTAAATCCTTGTGTGTCTATGCTCCATTATTGACTTACAAATCCTACATTGCTTCCCAGTGTTCTTACTTAATCTCCTGTGGTTAAGGAACACTAAAACACAAAGATTATTGTGCGCTTGATATTACAGATAATATCTTTGTCTTTGAGGCTCTCGACTCTCCTGGGACCTCCCCCTCAGGAAAATTCAACTGCTGCCACCGCTTTGCGACTCAAAACCAGAAAGCACTTTTCTTCTATGCTCTGACCTTTGCTGTAAGCATTGTGAAGGGCTGAAGGGAAGAAACAAAAGATCAGGAATCCTTCTGTGCAGTACGTGCTCTTAACCTCCACTGCTGGAATCAAGGCCCACTTTAATCTGAGCAGGGACAAACACAAAACCAGCTCTTGTCATCAGACCTTGGGACAACAATTCCTGCAGATGTGCAGTAATGACATTCTCAGCATGGTAGATCTCTATCTAAAACTCAGCCATTTAGTAGGGAAAGGAATGTCTGCACAAACATTCCTGTCTTTACATTCCTGAGCTCTACTGCAGCCTTACCTTCATGTCATAAGCCTCCCCAAAAATGTTTCATCCCCCCTGAGGGGCAAGGCACAACTGCAGGTAAAATATAAGGAACCTGTCATAGAACTCTGGACAGCATGAAAAAGAGATCAGAAGAAAAAAAACTTCAATCCATTTGGACTAGATAGTCATTTTAGGTCCTCCAACTGAAATTTTCTTTTCTATTCTATATTAGTGTAGGTAGCGAGAACACAGAGCAATACAAGCTAAGAACTATTTGGAAGTAGCTTGTTCCACTGAAAAATTTGCTTTTTAAGAGCTCAATCCAGCCAGGGCAATAATCCCCCTGAACTTCAAAGCCCCAGCTTCCAGCTGCAGTGGTGTTTCTTTCCATCCCTTTTACTGTGGGACCAAACAACCAAGCACAAGGATGCCGTTGAACAAAACTGGATTTGCTATGAGCTCTTTTGCCTGCACCAAAGAAAAAAAGTGACCAGCTGGAGGTTAGAAGGGAGGAAAAGTGGCTTGTGTTCTAACCAAAGAAGAATTTGGACCACGTGGTGGAGTTGTATTTACACATTTCTGACATAACTGACAGTGATAGCACCAAACAGAAATGGCAATTCAGACATTCAGCAGCACCTTCAGTGACCACATCCCCTCCAGGCAGGCAGATGGGGAGCCCAGGGAGAGATCAGCCTGCTTTTCAGGGGTGCAAGGTTTCAAGGTGCAAAGCACACTGCAGATACAGGTCCAGGGAAGCAAACCAGCTACTGCATCCCCTTGGCCACATCACATACTGTGGACATACATGCATAATGTGGCTTTATCCCAACAAAGGAGCACTTGTGTGTTCACTGTTCACCCCCGCAGTCATATCTGCTTCAGTCAAAAGGGATTTTGGCAAAAGTGAGGGAGTTTTTACACAGAGTTTCATTTTTTCTCCTTGCCCTGTCTTTTCCAAGCTTTGCTCCTTGTTCCTACATGATGGTGAGAGCCTTTGCAGCGCTGCAGTTATAATTTGTCTTCCATGAGCAATTTTAGGGCCATGTGTACTGTCCTTCTCCTGTCCACATCAGAAAGCAGGGCTGACAATTATCAAGCATTCGGGTAAGAATGAGTAAAGCAGTGACACATGGAGGAAGGAGAAGAGCTCCCTTGCTGTCTCTTATCTGCCCCAAGTACAAGGTCACTGTGAACTGCAGGTCTCCTGCATGTAACCCAGCTCCACAGCCTCCCTGCTACCCCATGGTCCTACAAACATTGCTGATAAGTGGCTTAAAGGATCCACTGGCCAACTTCCCCAGCACACACCATGTGGGACACAGGCCACAAACTTGATGCTGAAAATACCTGAAATGGGCTTATGACTGAGGCAGCATGAGGGGAAGACCCATGGGTCACATCACAGACAAGAGCAAGGTGTTCTGCCTGCCTGCCTTCTGCATGGCCAGCCCTGGCAGGACTGCCCCAGAATGCAAAGGGAGCAGACAAAGGCAAAGAAGAATTAAAATGCACTCAGGTAGGAAAGATTTGGGTTCCCTGTTCTTCTTCACACACCAAGTAGCAAAAACTTGCAGAGAATGGAAAAAAGGCTTAAGCAAGAACAGCAGCAGCAGGCAAAAGCAATTACTATTTCCTAAACAACAAACAGCTCTTTCAAAATCGGGTTTATACCCTTCAGAGAAAGATTGCAGGGGACACATCCATTTTGCCTGTTATGTAGATTTTTAAAGCTAAGTACATACCCACCTGAGTATTGCATAAGATACCAATTAGGAACATTTATTTTGGGTAAAAGAAAAACCAGTGAACCACTCTGGTTAACTGCCATCTCTCAGAGAGACAGTCTTTTTCCATTTGTCTCCTCTTCCACTAAAAACAGAGGAGTGTTTTACGCCAAACAGTAAAACCTCAGGTCTCATTTTCCAATTTGGAGTCTCAGAGATGCACAGCCCTGTGTTCTTACCCTGTAACTATCCTCCAGTCTCCTATAATCACACTTAGTGGTCTGAGCTCAGCTCTCACCAGCTTGCAGCAGCCCTTTGCAAAACACTTTATCATGATTTTTACATCAGCTCTCCTCTCCCTGCTTCTTGATTTCCCCTGCCAGATTTTCTCTGGGTGGTAGAAGTTGAGTGGCTCTGCCTGAAATCATAACTGACTCTGGCCCCTAATGCCTATAGGAGACACCACTTCTGACCCACAAAGGGAAACAAATTTTTCCACCAAATTCCCCCCACTTGGCTGATAATATTTAGTTTAACTCCACTGTTTCACTGCTCATCTCTAGAGCTGATGTGTTTCACCAGGGAAAAAGGAATCCTTCCCCTCTGGGGTCTGGTTGGGTGTGCCCACCGATCTGAACTACTATGAGATATTGAACTGGTACTGACTTCAGCTTTAGGCTGTATCTCTCTAGATGTTTACATGATGATAGACTCAAAATCTGTGAAAAACGCAAATATTAGCTTTGCTAAGCTGGTGCCAAGTACAAGGTTCAAGCATTGGAATAGGCTTCCCAGGGAAGTGGTTGAAGCACCATCCATCCCTGGAGCTATTTAAAAGGTGTGTAGATGTGGCACTTGGAGACATGGTTTAGTGGTGGACTTGGCAGTGCTGGGTTAATGGTTGGACTAGATTAACTTAGAGGTCTTTTCCAACCTAATAGATGCCATGTTTCTACGATTCCATCTCAAAACTGAGGTGCTCAAATTGGGGAGACACGGGTGCAGGGGTCCCTAGAGGAAGGTGCAGGGTCCCTTGGCTCTCTGACCACCTGGGTAGCCTGTCCCCAGCTTTTGTGATTCCGCCTCACCTCCCAGCTCCCGTGGCTGGACAGAAAGTGTCCCCCCACCGAGGACGGGGCGCACCCGCACACCCCGGGGCACAGAAGGGCTGTCAGACGGCTCTGGTTGGGGCGGGGGCTCAGCGCTCGCCTCCAGGGAGCCCAGGGGCACATTGCGGGAGGGGAGGGGGGTCAGGACCTCTCTGCGGCGAGGGGGGCAGCGAGGGGGATGTTAGCTCCGGGAAGGGCTCTCCCTCTGGGGATGCTCTTCCAGGGCGATACCAGGCGAGGGGACCCGCGCTGCCGCGGTGACATCCCCGGCAGGACGCGGGGCGACAGATCCGCAGCTGGACCCACCGGCTCGGTGGGAAGAAACTTCCCCGGCGGGGCCGGTCCGGGCCCCCCGCCCCGCCCGCGCCCCGCCCCGGAACGGGGCGAGGCTGCTGCGGGCGGGCAGAGCCCGAAGGCTGCGGGCGCCGGCGGAGGGTCCGTGCCCGCCGCAGGGTCGGTGCCCGCCGCAGGAAAGCGCCGCGGTAAGGCCGAGCTCCGCGATCCTGGGGTCCTCTCAGCCGGGAGAAGTTGGGCTGAACCCCCCTCCCGGGGCTGCAGCCCTGCTGAGCATCTCCCCCTCCCTCCGCGGGCGTCCCCCGCTCCCAGCCGGTGTGACGGGGCGGGTGACCGGGGAGGAAGGAGCTCGCCGGGCTGGAGCTCGGCGGCGGCTCGGAGCTGCAGGGAGGGATGGCTGAGCGCAGGGGGGATGGAGGCGCGACAGGAGCAGGGAGGTGTAGGTGGGACCCAGTCTGGGCTGCAGGTGTGGCCGCAGGGCGCGTCGCTGGGACGTGTTCCCCTCTGCCCGTTTGACGGGACGTGGGAGAGGTAGGAGCCGGTCCGGGTTGCAGATGCAACAGAGCGGTGGATAGGCAGTACCTGGACCAGATTGCAGGTACGGCGGTGGAGCATACAGGTGGGAGCTGGTCCGGATTGCAGCTGCAAACATACCGTGTACGGGCTGGATGTTGTTTGGATCGCAGGTGGTGGATGTGGTTTGGATCGCAGGTGCAGCTACACCGTGCCCAGGTGTGACGTGGTCCAGATTGCACGTGTAGGTGCAACGTGGTGCGCGTTGCAGGTGTGATGTGCAGGTGGGATGTGGTCCTGATGTGCCGGGGGCTCACTGAGCGTCTCCTAGCACAGAGTGTATGGCTGCTGTGCCTGTGTCCAAGCTGGGCAACTTTTAGGCTTTTATTTTGAAAGATTCTGTTATCTAGTGGGTTTCGGACGTCTCCCAAGTCCTGCCCAGTTTTCCCACATAGCTCTCTCCAGCCTCATCCTCCCTTTTGCTCAATAACTCCGCAATGATGAAATGGCTTCTTGCAACATCAGCACGCAGAGCTGAATTCCAGAGCTCGGGGGCGGGGAAGGAGTGCTCAGACACACTGATCTTAGGAGAAATACCCCAAAACAGTGTTCATGGTCATCCCTCCCAGTACCGGATCGACACTGTGAAATGTACACTGCTTTTCTCGGATTTCTGAAGAATTTCGCTGGGTAAACACAGTGGGACACAACCTCAGGCTCCCTGGTAGATTGCGAGCAAACTTCTGACCTAAGTCAGTTGGAAAGAAAAGTTGGAGTCAGCAGAGTTACAGTAAGGTTGCCATCATCCTACTGAACTTGCTCAGAATTTGGGTTGTCTGGCCACTAATCTCATTTCTCTTCCATCCACTTAAACTTACTTTTCCGCTACACAGAAGCTGCCAAAACTAAAGGACGGGGGGCGGGGGGAGGGGGGTGTGTCACAGGAACCTATGAGAATAAGGGTGGGGGTTTTTTTGTCCTATTATAAGTTAATAATCCCGTTTCTAGGCTGTCATCCAAGAATATTGCTCAAAAAATGCAAGCAGTGTACAAGACCCATTGTATAAAAGATAATCTAAATGTAGGACAGGAAGGGACCTGGCAGGTCAGCAAATCTAAACACAGAGTGATATTATGCCTTACTGCACACCACTGTAATTCATTTGCTCCTGGTCTCCTGGGAATGGGAAGTTTCAGAACTTTACTGAACTGACACTAATTTTTTCTCTAATATATGGTTTTCTCTTACTTTGTATATGCACTGTGACTGCTTAGTTCTCCCAGTATAGATGCTTTCCTTTGTTATCAGTGTAGAAATAGGAGTTGCATGCTTTTCACTGTGTCATGCCATGCAAGATTGAACTTGCTGTCTGCTTTCATGAAGCAGGCTCCAGGTTATGCTGATCCCTGGCAGTCATGGGCTGGCCTTCTTATTTACCAACTTCCCTGTGGATGAGCAGAGCTGCCAGGCTCAGAGATCTGTGCTGTGCCTCTCGTGCTTTGACATCTCACCTAGAAATAAATCCCTCACCTGGTAGGTACTGCAATTAACCTCCTCCTCAGGTTCTTCCTGCCCTGTGATGGGGGTGGGAAACTGGAATTTTTCATCCTCAGGTGTCCATCTGACTTTTGTTTTCTGCTGTCAGCTCTCATCTTACTCCAGGCCTCTTATTAATCCCATTTTTCTTGCATATCCCCATGTTCCATGCTAGTGCAGTATTCCCCCAGCTTTCTCCCACTTGCTCTGTTGTGAAGGGAGAACTTAACTTGGTAGTGACCCCTGCCAAATTCAGACTGACCCTCTCCATTTGATTGTCTGTCTAATCCTTTTAGGTCTGTACCCTATCTATTGCAATTTTTCATCTTTTGTTTGTTAACTCCTGATTTCACTGAGCTGCACAGCAAGGGGCTGCATTGAAATGTGTTTGAAGCTGAATTTTGCCCAGTGTGTGCCAAGTATGCTGGGTAGGCTTCCCAAAGTAGCTGAGTAGAAAATATTTCTTATCAAAGCAAGCTAAGTTGCATTTTGTCCTCCTTTCCCCCTATTTACTTCTGTGGCATCAGTTATTAGGGTGGGTTTTTTCTGCAACAATTATACTGTTGATGAGGGATGTTTAATCCCACCATTGTACTGTAACCAGCCGTGAGTAGAAGATGGGTGTAATTCAGCAGTGGGTATCAACACAATGCTGTGTACTGGGCAGTGAACAATATTCATAGAGCTGAAACAGCTGGGGGAACATCAGACAAACTCAGTGCTCCTATCTGAGCTCAGATTTAGCTCCCAGTTGAACATCCTTGCTCTTAATATTTGCAATATGTTCTATCAATAGTGATTCAGAGGAAATACCGCCCACTGAATCAACAAAGTCAGCTCACAGGGTCACACAAGGCACTGAACAAATCCAGGTCTGCTCAGTGCAAAATACTGCAGCCAGTAGGTGCAGATAAACACTTTACAAGGAGTTATCCCTGTTCCATTCATTAACACTGGACACGGCTTCTTATATAAGCAGGTGAAAAATAGCTAAATATTTTGCAGAAGCTAGATGCAACCCTGCAGCCTGATGCTCCTCGTGTTCAGTGCATGACTACCTTCTTCTGCCCTAATATATTATAATCCCTTTGGTAATATCCACCAAACTCAAGTTTATTCCAGTGTTTCTCAGCACTGCATATGCAGCAGTTTGTCATACAGTGCTCATGAGTGTGCTGCTGCAGAGCCTGCTTCCATCTCTCAGTGGCAAGAAAAAGCACTGAGAGCACCAAGTGCTGCAACAGAGCAGGCAAACAATCTGTATTTTAATTATACTCTTGGGTTCTGTGCTGTAAACTGAAATGCTAAGAACAAATTGGGGGAAGAAAAAAAGACGTCAGATTCTGAGCTTTGACTTTCTTCTTCTAATGAAGAGTGGCATCGTGCTCATAGGTCTGGTGTGGGGTTTGTCACAGCATCCCAGTTGTTCCAGTTCTGCAGGCACACTTTGAGAACTGGAGCGAAGCACAAAACGGGAGTGCTTCAAAAAAAGGGTTCTCTGCATTTGGGCAACTTCGCTGTGCCTCTCAGGATTCTCATCAAGGGCAAATATCATCTGTCTCCTTTTTCCTAGGGAAAAAAGTACTAGTGAGCAACAGCCAAGCCTTATAATTGCTGCCAGATCATGTCAGTGGTAGATGAGTTGATTTAATGGAACTGAATGTCAAAACAAAGAGGGGTGTGGGGTTCATGCATGAACCCCTGAGTCATAGCCTGGCATCTACAGGAGTGCCCGCAGTTAAGTAAGTAGTTGTGTGGTGTGGCAGGTGAACATTTGTTGCTGTTTTGCCAGGCAGCCTCTCACATCTGCAGAAATCATCAGGAGAGCATCTAACAGCATGATGATTTTTCTTTTTGATGTAACGAACACGTATTGTTCCCAGATTCAGCTGTTTCTACTGGTTTGGTACCCGAGCTGACATTTCAAAGCACTGGGAATGCTGAAGCCACAGATCAATGAGAATCTTAAGCAAGCAATAGTGTTTGCAAAAAGCTCTTTAGCATTTGATGGTGTATTTCAAGGTGCTCCGAAAAAAGAATGATCCGATAAAGGACATCAGGCAAAGCCAGAAAGGAGGACTGAGAGCTGGTGGATAAAGTCCTCATGTCAGCATTGGAGTCACTCAGCTGATTCCAAAATGTTTAACTACCCTAAAAGAAACAGCTCACTTTAGAAGGGATGTTGCTCCAGCACTGTGTCCAGTAAAACAAGTACAGGCAAATGAAGAGCTACCAAATGCTGTAGCTGGTAAGGTGGGATGTTGAACTTGGCAAGGCTGTAGTGGGAATCACCGGGTGGTGCTGGTTGGCATTGACTTTCCATTTGTTTTTCTTACCACAACCATTATTTTTCCTCAGCTGAGGTGTAAACAGTATTTATTTGGGGGAATGTCTGAGGGATTTGCTCTTTGCACTGCTGCTCCATTAGAGTATGTTGAGCAGGTGTCGTCAGCCACCCCTTAGTGCTGAGAGGACTTTCCCAAAAGGGACACAAAGGAAATTTCAGTTGATGGTTTGCATGGCTGCTCACAGAGTACCCACAGGTTCAGTAACACTGATTTCACTCCAAATCCAACTTGCTAAACCTTCTGTTGCCTCTGCTGTTCCCAAGCTGTGGTTAATGCCAACATAGGACATCACTAATGGCAGCTGGCCACCTTGGGGCGAAGTGGGTCTCCACTTTTCCAGCTGGGAGAGCTGAGTCACGTTTTAACAAGCGAGGACAGCAGAGGAATTTGGAGATCACTCCAGGAAAGTGTGGGAAAGGAGTCACCCTGCAACCATAAACCCTCTATATTTAGTTGTACTTTAAAATGGAAAATGTTGGTGATTTTGCAGTTGCAGAGGTCAGATGAGTTTGGGGACCCTCAGATCTGCTCTGCACGGAGCCTCTGCACAGGGAGTCATGGCTACCTGTCCACCCCACTGTGTTTCCCAAAGTTAGAGACATTCCAGCCTTGTCCCTGTCCCAGGGACTGCACAGTGAGCTCATCCCTTGCTGGAGGCACAACCTCTCCCCACTGTCCCCTGGCAGGCAGAGGAGGTGAAGGGAGGGAAGCAGCAGAGCCCCTTTCCTCTCTCCAGATCAATGAATGAGGTTGGCATCATCTTTCTTTCTTTCTTTATTTATAACTTTGGTGAGCATCTCTGCTTGTGTCAGTGTAGCCAAGGAATAACTTTGTTACCCTCTGCTCTGTCGGTTAAATTGCATTATTTTTAATGAGGCAGATATCTCCATGCTGCTTCTGTCCTACTGGTTTCCCCTATCTGGGAACTGCCTGCTCCTCGTCCGTCCTGCTTTTCTGTTAAGTCATTGCCCAGCATTCACTGGAAGCAGTGAGCTAAGTGTTAGCTTTATTTTCTGACAGAGGCCCCAGGTGGAAACAGAAGTTCCCGTAGTACAAGGCAGCGGCTTTTTGTGAGTGATGCTTTTCTTCCCACACCCTGCTGAGAAGTCAAACTGTGGCAAATCAACTCATTCCACCGTCTGGCCCAGATCAAGGTACTTCACCTAAATAAAAGGATGGTCTCTGCTGGCAAAGGATTTATTCCAAGGAGGGGGTGCAGCCCCTCACAGGCTAGATGTGCAACCCAGGGGGATGCAGGAGGAGAGGCAAAGCCACACAGCCCTCCCTGGACCATTCCTTGTGGACTGGCTCATTTCTTCCATCAACACTACAGTTCCCAGCTCCAAGATCTCTCCCTCTGTCCCAGCAGGTCCCTTGGGGGCACAAAGTGGCACCAGGGGGTTTTGAGGTCCAGCTTTGGCGTTTTGCCCCCCTCGCTGCCCACAAATGTGGACTCTGGGCGGCTGCCTCCCCTGCATCGTCTGTGTGAGTAAGCCTCCCTCCCGCCCCAGAAACAGCCACAATCTTCTCCTTTGTGTGTTTCTAGCTCAGAAAAGGCTGATTCATTCTCTGAAGCAGATTAATTACTTCTTCTATTTAGAAAAGAAAAAAGATAAATCCTTTAGAATTGGTCAGCTTAACTTTCAGCTGTGTGCACTGTGCAGTAAAGCAAATGTACTCTGAGCCAGAGCATAAAAGTTCTCAAGGAATAAGAAACTGGGGGTTGCAGTATTTACCTGGTATGTCAGCAGTGGGCTCTGCAATTTAGGAAGTATTTGTGAATGTGTATTTTTCTTGACTTATATGACAAACAGTGCAAATTTGAGCCCACCGTGAAGGTGAACTGGGGAACAAATATTTTTATTCCCTGATACATTTTATAACTTGTTTCCCTTCTGGTTTACA